AAACAGCGCCCCTGTGAAGGGGATCACACTCAGCACCCGAGTGGGACGGCTGAGCAGGACACACTTCGAACTTGGATTTTCAGTTAATGCAATCTCCCGAGGAAAGGAATGGCTCAACGGTAAGGTGGAAAGTCAGCGCAATTGTAGATGTTTGAACAAATGGTTTTCGCACATCTGCAGTTCACAAGAACAGCGGTGTCGAGCGATCAGCGCGGCTGCACATCTGCGGTGGGGAAAGGTTTTGGGGTCTATCATGAGAAAAACCATGGAACCAACGAAGCAGCAGCAGGGTGGACCAGTGGAGTCATTGTGTTGAAAGCAGGTACGCCAGACTGATCAGGTCTGGCTTCACTGCCAATTGCAAGCGTCTTCGTTGGCAGGAGACTTGCAATGGCACTCCTGCCCCCTGCTTGCGAAAGGTGGTGGTGGAAAACCCTTTGTCCAGGGGTGGACACACACACACACACTGCCTGCTGTTTTTCTTGTTTCGAACTAGGTAGAATCATCGGATTTGCTGCTTGAAGCCCGAATCCTTTGGAATCTGGCAACCACAAAGAGCAAGATGCTCATGAAGAACTCATGTAACAACCTCTTATACCTATTTCTTCAAAGTGACCCTTTGAGCTCTCAGTTGGTTCGGTCACTTAAGCCTTAAGCCTCGCAAGGGTCACTGGCCTCAAGGTCATGCACGTTCATGAAGCTAGCGACCTTTGGCCCAAGCCACCATGCATCCAATTCCCACTCCGATCTTAAGAACCCGTGGCCTCGCTGTGCCGTCTCGTGGCCTCCCAGCGCCACCTCCTCGGCCAGCCATGGCCGTTTCGCGCGTGTCGCCGCAGTCCGTGCGCGCGGTGCCGCCCCGCGCCACGCGCGCGGCGAAGATCACGGGGATTTACATCGGACTGGTGGGGCTGGCGCTCTTCGTGGCGCCTGAGAGCTGCTTTTCCCTCCTCTTCGACCCCCAGGAGCTGCGAGCCATTTGGATTCGGGTCTTTGGCATCTTGTGCGCCGTGCTGGGCTGGTATTATTATGGAGCTGCACGTGACAGTGTCCTGGCAAAAGCTGTTTTTTTGAGTTTGGACTTCAGTGGATGACATCTCCAGGGGGTGGGACATCCATTTGAGGTTTGGACAAACTTTCTCTGGTTATTCAGACACTCCATGGGACTGCCATAGATGCCGATCAGTTGGGGTAGCTTTAGGGCTTAATGTAGACATCATATGGCAGTCCCATGTGTCGTGTCTGGGTTAGTTCAGAATGGACGGAGGCCACCTGACTTCTACGGACCTCTCCCATCTCCCCACAAGGTTGGTGGGATTCAGTCACCGATTCATCACTCAGATTGAAGAGAAGTGCCATACAGTTCTCATGCCAGCCTTCCACCAAAGAGTTTTGGGTTTTCACTTTTTTGTGGGTGAATTGAAACTGGCAGATGTACCATCCAGAGGGCCCTTGAGTCACTGCAGTCCGACCGGCATGGATTTCACGGCCTTCATGGCAAGACTGAACCCCAACAAACCAAACAAACCATGACAAGGCGGAACGTCTACGGCAGAGGGTCAAGTCGACACGTTTTTTCCACGGGGCTCATCATTCCACCTGTGTCACTTCCGGAGGCTCCTCCGGGTTCCTTGAGGTTCTTATTCATACCGTCACAGTTGGCTTAACATTCAGTCCCTCGAGAAAAACTAAAACGTAAGTACCTGGACCTTCAAGGGGTGTTCTGGCTGGAGGTCCCTGTAGGTCGTGGGCTGGGGCGAAACCAGCCAGGTGACCCCGACATGAAGGTGCTGGTATATAAGCATGTGTGTGTGTTTTCCTCAAGAATTATGGCACACCAGGCCGAGGCTTCTTGGAAGCCAGCGTCTCGGGTCGACTTGGCTTGGCTGCGGCGCTCTGTGCAGCCGTGGCCATGGACCGGCAGAAACGACGCTTGAGCTAGAGAAGCATACCCATGGTTTGGGGGGTCAATGTAGGCATATATGGCATACATGGTGGCATACATGGAGTGTCTGGGATAGGGAGCGCCAGTCTGTGTTACATGGAGCGGCGGGGTGGCCAGTTTGAGTCAGGTCAGTTGGATGTTTGGCTTGTGCTTGTGCTTTTGTTGACGTTATTTGCTTGGAGGGTGTCTTTTCATGGTGCTTGGCAGGGTGTCTTTTCATTGATCTTCGGAGTGGACCCATCGGTGTCGAAGACGGGAGCAGAATCGGGATTGGAACCATCGGTGGTCGGCGTCCGCCAAATGGGAAGCTGGAGATAGCTGAAGCATGCTGAACCCGAGTCCGACAGAATTTGACCAATCAGGTTTTCAGGTTGCCTCACTCCATGCAGGTTCCTTTAAAAAAGGAATGGAATCCACTGAAGTGATTAACAATTCCAAAACCATCTCCAAATATTGTTCTGTGTGCTTCCGTTGCTCAGACTGGGGCCTCCTTCTTTTGGCCGCCACCAACGCCGTGGGCGCCTACTTCATGCACCGCGCCTTGAGATGAGCACGATGCACTCGGCCTTCGTCTTCGTGCGATGCACGCAGCACTCCGCGGCACTCCGCGGCGATCGGTGTTCACAGAGGGTCCAGCGGCGCAGCAGCGCGGCGGACGGATGTGAATCGAAGGCACATGACGGAGCGAACGCCTGGAGATGGATCTGTCCAACCACATCCGAGAGGGCGGCAATGTGGCAATAGTTGAGTGAAGTCAGATCACTTTCTCAAGTGCGGAAAGCAGACATTGTGAAAGACTTGGCACAGATTCCTCTTATAGACTGGTATGAGAATATGTGACCTTGCTTCAATGTTCTGATTCTACGTGCAAGATCGTGTAAGTATAGTTCCAGATTTGATTTAGACGTTCTGAGAGAACTTTGGGTTTGGAACCTCAAGCGACATATTCTTGGCCCCCGTTAGTTATTGTGTTTGAATCCTTGCCTTGAACAATAAGCTAAGCATCGGGACAAGAAGACGGGAAAACTAAAGCCCACTTGAGGTTCATCCAGAAGGTTTGGGTGGAAGACATGATATGGCAGTGCTCCCAAGAAGGCCTTCTCAACCTTCGTAGGATGAATGACTGGGAACTTATGCTCAACCAGGATTTCGCGCATACGGGAATTGGGTCCAAACCTGGAGCCCGACACCAGTCCGCCATGTAGCGAAAGACCTTTCGTTGGCAGGTCAAGCAAGGTATCTCATGCTGACATCTTTTGACCGTCTTTGATTGAGGGAACATACTTTTGGGTTAGGGATGGCCATGCCAAATCATGTCGCTGAGGGAACACACCAACCCGTCTGACCCGGCTGACCCACATGCCGGCAGGAGTCCGATCCAGGAGGGGCCGTGGGCGAACGCGAACGTGGGTGCGTCGTGGCCAAAGGGATCACAGTGAACCGGGGTTTCGTTCTCCTGCCTCACAGGAGATCACAGCTTACGTACCGGGAAACCACGAGGACGTGAAGAGAGAATCCAAGAGATACCGATCCCTGCCACAGTTGCCTCCGAACACCTGGACGTTTTCATGAACAAAGTTCGGTGCCGCAGGCACGGAGGCAGTCGAAGATCCCGACGAGGTGCGGGGACGTGGTCCGGACGTGGTTCACGCGACGCTGACACACAGACACAGACACGGAATATGAAGACCAGCTGGACCTGCGTGGAGAATTACAGTAGCTCGTTCAAAAAATCATTTATACGTCAAAGAGAAAGGAGATGATGAATAGTCCTTGTCGGTTGTAACAACCTCCCTGAAAAAGTCTCGGATCTAAACCCTGAGGTAGACCCCCCCAGGCTTTTACTGTTGGGAGGGCATGTTCATTTTCTTAGCCGCATGAATCATGAATCATGTTGGACTGAGGGCCGAAGGAAGCAGACAAAATCACCGTCAGCTTAAGCGATCTCAAGCGATTGTTCCGTGACCAGCAGATAGAGGCCAAAAGGAGTTCATGAATGAAGAACAACGATAGCCAAGAGATTAAAGAAGTGGCTATGATCCTGGATCTTCCCAGTGACCTCTTGATCCCGTCACTTAGGCCTGTGAAAGGTCACTTAGGGACTCAAAAGTGGTCACTGGGAAGGTCATACTGGTCTGAACGGTTTGCTTCTCGATTTCGCAACCCGCCAGCCGTACGGGGCCATACGGGCGGGCGATCTGCAGGAGGGTGAGATCTTGTACTTTGGTGGTGTAGCTGAAGAGCGCAAAGAACCAGAGGCCGATGGGTCGAAGAAAGGGTCCCATGCGTCGGATGATCACGGGGGACCTCCGGGAAAACCTCTGAGTCTCACCATTCGTGAACATGGAAGATATAGCGCTTGTGTCTTCGTCACAGACGGGCCAGGGGAGTTCTTCCGAGAAATGTAAATTCAGAGAGCTCAACTAAGTGGGATGGGCGGAAGTAGATATATGAGTGCGTTTGATGAGCCTGGATTTCTCGCAGCTCAGACGAAGCGACAGGTTCCACCTGCTTAAACGGTTACAGGGGCATCCTGATTGACAGAGTTGTCTGAAACAGTCCTGGGTCATCTCCATGTCGGTGCGTTGGCAGAGTGAAGAGGAGGAGTATTACGTACCGTGAAATTGAAGGCCCTTCTTTCACTATTTTGCTTTGAAATCCTAGGAGATTGACTCATGGCAATGCCTAAAGTGATGAACCGAAGTTGAGCCTTTGTACACTTTCCTTCACTTCCGCGGCCACGAACTCTTAGGCGCCTTGAGCACTGGAAAAGATGTTAGCCGACCGAGAGAGTCGAACGAGACCTCGGTGTTTTCCTCAGTGTTTGGTTTGTTAGATTCTAGTTCCTCGGTCGGTCCCTTTGTTCTGCTTCCTCTGATTGGTCTAATCAGCGGTAGCGGAGCGTTGGGATCGCTCCAGCGCTCTTTGCCATGGACCCCTGGTGTTCTGCTGGTCTTGATCCGTGGAGTCGGTATCAAAGCATGCAACCGCCTTTCCAATCTCCCATGGGTGCACAGTCGTTTGCAACTTCTGTTGGACAACCGTCGATGGGTAGTGGCCAGGTTTTTGCTGCACACCAGCCTATGTACTCAGGGGGGCCTCAAGGAGCACCGCAGACCTTGACGCCTGACGGCACCGCCACCGGGTCATCCGTCCGGGGCACAGTTCAAGGCGCTGCGGGTGACCGTCGACTTCAGTCGAATATGAGCCCAATGTTTTCAGTCTCTCCAGGAAATGGAACAGCTTTTGGACCGACCTCCCAAGGAGCTATGCCACAAGGTTGTACTTTTCCAGGAGCACCTCTCGGTGGAAGTAGCAGTGGACTGGCCGGGAACTGGCTTCAACACCTCGATGCAAACGCATCCCCACCACCTCAAACGAGGACTGTCGGTAGTGCTTTTGAGTTGTTTGGCAAGCCTTTTAGTGGATCCATGCCTTCCTCACAAACAACTCCATCCACTCCAGCTCAACAGAATGAACTCATGCTGAAAGCCTTGACTGCCGCCTTGAGCGGTGACAAGAAGTCGATCCCCACTTGGAACGGAAGTGTTGAGACTCTTCGACCATGGTTGCGTCAGTTGAGTTATTGGGAGTTGGACAACAATGTTCCTAAGACACGTTGGGGAATCAAGTTGTTGCAGAGTTTTACAGATGGGAGTGCACCTCGGAAGATCGCTGAGACAGTTGACCTTTCAGTTGTTCTGTCAGAACAAGGGTATGGCACCATTCTCACCGAGATCATGACCAAGTATGGACCCTTTCTAGAAGCAATTGGTCCGGCCGCCATTGATCATTTTTTCTATGGCTTTGAAAGGTCTCGACAGGAGAGCTTTAGCAACTACATCGCTGCGAAGGAGGTTGCGCTGCAGGAGCTTGAGGCTCAGCTGGGTGAGAAGGTTCCGCCCCGAATCGCTGGCAGAGTGCTTTTGAGGGGTGCCAATCTGTCGGAGCAACAACGTGAGAACTTAGCCATTAAGTACAATGCATTGTTGACCTTTGATCAGATTGCAAGAGCATTGAGGCCGTTAGACAGGCCGGAGGCATTGGTTGGCAAGGTAAGCAAAACATTTTTGATGGGTCGCTCAGAAGCAACAGAGCAGTCAGAAGCTTTTCATGAAGGAGAGCATGAGGACCTTGAGGAAGAAGAGGAGTTGTTGTTTGAGGAGGATGAACCGGAATCCGATGGTGAAGGGAATTTGACGTACTTGGTGTTTGATCCAAGCAGAGAATACACGGAGGAGGAGACACAGTACATTTGGGCATACAATTCGGCCTATCGAGATGTTCGCAAGGACCTGCAAGCTCGTCGAAAAGGCCGACAGTTCTTCAAACCCAAGGACTCAGCCCAAAGGAACAAGAAAGGTGGAGGAAAGGGACGCTTTGGGAAGTCACGATCATTTTCCAAAGGTCGCCCACCTGACCGTCAGAACAAAGGTTCACCAGGTGATCTTTTGGCCAAGACCCGTTGTTTCCGTTGTGATGAGCTTGGCCACATGTCCAAAGACTGTCCAAAACGAGACAACCCGTCATCGTCGTTCTTTGTGGTGCAAGGAAATCAGGGGACAGTCAACAGGACCTTTGTTGTGTCAGGTCGGGCAGCAGCTATCACACCGGAATCCGTCGCAAGCAGTGACATGGATGGAACTATCACACCGGACACTCCATGTCATGCAAGTCAGGTATTTGTGAACATTGCTTCGGATCTTCAACGGACGATTAGTGTTCTTGCAGGAGTCAGGACAGATGGACATGAAGCAGTTGTTGACACAGCAGCTGAAGAGGCAGTGATTGGTTCTTCAGCAATGCAACGCCTGACGCAAGCATTGGCACGACATGGCCTACAACCACGACCAGCGTCTGGAGCAACGGTGACTTGTTCTGGGATTGGTGGCTCAGCCAAAATACTTGGCATCTGGGACATCCCCATCGGAGTCTGCCGATCCAACGGTTTGATTCGAGCCACCGAGATCGAGGACAGTGGAAGCTTTGAAACACCGTTTCTGCTGCCAGTGTCGTACCAAGAACTTGTGGGTGCAGTCATTGACCTTGACCGCAGTACGTTCAAGCTGCGAAACGGTCGCAAGACCATGATGAAGCGGACGCCATCCGGGCACCGCGCAATATCCATCCTCGAGTTTGGAGGCAGATGGGCCTTGCCTGAAGCCCTTCGAGCAGAACTCCACCTAGATGGAGAAAATCCTTTTGTCCTGCCGCTCGACAAGAAGTCCAGCAGATTCCAACAGAAACCTGGAGTCGCTGTGTGGCTGAAAAAGGGCGATGAGACCATCTTTGCTGGGACTTTGTCTGGCCCACGACAAACCTTGGTTCAACCTCATGAGATTTTTTCACCATCCACCATCTCCTCACTCGGCCCTTCCCGATGCACATATGCATGCTTTGAAGACCAGCACCACATGACTATCGCAGACTTATGGGGTTCAGTGCATGATCGCCAACTTCCTTTCTGGTCGGGTGATGTGGTTTTCGACGTTTTTGCCGGTGTTTTGCCTTCGTCGGCGACTTTGTCATCGCCTTCGTTGTTGTCGCCAACGCCTCAGGCTGGACGAATGGAAGCACAGATTGGCGTTCCTGCACAGGTTCGGAGCCCAATGACAGAGCATGCAAAGCAGGTGCAAGAGTTTTCATTGAATGATCCATCAAAACAGGCATATGAGAGGAAATCCGGTGGTTCTTCTTTTTCCATTCAGCAGAATGTCACCCTGCCACGTTGTTGTTTGATGCATGATCATTTTTCTGGAGCACATCAAGCAACTGAGCGGCGACAGCCTGTTTCCGCTCAAGCTGGAAGCGATTCGCAGGAGTACGATTGCGATCACCATGCAATCTCGGATCCTGGAATGCATCGTCAAAGAAGAGCAACAGGAAGCAAAGGTGAAGAAAGAAAGCAAGAAGCCGCTGTTGTCCACTCAGCAGCGGGTGAATGCATGGCAGCGCATGGTTCGAATGATCTTGTGGATGATCGGCAATGCCAACGTGGAGTATGCGGCCAACTATCTGATGACACGACACAGCATCTCCGAGCTTCAGCACGAGGCCGACGAGCGGGAGAAAGCACGCTTGGAACTGGAAAGGCAGAAGGCCCAGAAGGCCAGGATGATTCGGCGCGGCATCGGCCAACCTTTGAGTCGATCCGTCGCTTGCAAGACCTGGCATGCCGAGCCAGCCGCATGTGCCCACTCCGACGACAAGCTACGCCAGAGGGCAGGCCGTGGGCATTTTTGGTGGACTTGCCTCGACTGTGGAAGTCGTTGGGAGCGCTTGGAAGCCCAGCAAGATCGGCAGATCAACGCACCGTCCAGCAGTTCCCATGCCGACGAAGCAGCTGGATCCACGGTGACGGTCATCAACACCAGTTCGAAGGTGGCTTACCCCAAGATCCTCCCCGCTCCAAGGTACCGTCCGGATCTGAGCGACCTCAAGCTGAAGGAAGAGAAGAGTCCGGAGAAGAGCACATGGCCTCGCCATGTGACCGTCCGGGAGATGATGATGATCGCTGCCAACCAGCCGCCGGAGGAGCCTTCGCCCATGAAGACTCCGGGACCAATCCCGGCAGGATCAGTAAAGGAAGAGCCCAGGACTCCTCGCCGCCGCCAGTCAAGTGGAGTGCGGCCCATGCAGGAGCGAGCCCGCCAGAAGAGGAGCGAGCATTCGCCACCACCGGAGCAGTTCGAGATTTGCTCGAGCGAGGAGGACAACCCGTGGACCAATGTGACCACGCCATGAATCCAGCAAAAGAGCATGCTGAAGGCCAACGACAGCGGCCACAGGTAAGGAAGAAGACTATGAGCTCCTTAGGCAAAGGAGTCGCAGCAGCTGTCACGATCCCACTTTTGGTCTTCACAAGCATCATGTCAAGCACAGCCGACAGTATCACCTTTTTGCATCTTTTTGCAGAATTTAGGTCAGATGGAAGTTCCCCAAGACTCACTAGAGGAATCTCCCGTCGATGCAAGGTTGTTTTCACCCAAAGTCATCCACCTCACCACGAGCACAACGGAATTGGGGCGCTCAGATTTTGAAGGGCAGCCTCAATGGTTGAGCAGGGATGAACAAATCTTTTTGTCCTCACGCCTTCGCCATTTTGGCGAGCATTGTGCTGAGCTCTACAGTCCTCCCAGGATAGTGCCGGCAGCCAGGAAAGCAGGTCTTCGAGCTTCCTTGTCAATGGACCTGACCACAGGCTATGACTTTACGAAGGCAGCCGACCGGAGGAGGGCATGGAAAGATATCCTAGAGAAAAAGCCAGCAGTGATTTTGATTTGTCCACCTTGTCGCACCTTTTCACCACTCCGTTTCCTGTCTTCCTATAAGAGGCAACTGCGCAAGGTGCAAGAAGAGGAACAGGAGGGTGATGATTTGCTTTCGTTTGGTCTTGATGTGGCCGAACACCAGATCAAGCACGGTCGAGGTTTTGTGTTTGAACACCCTTGGTTGTCAAGAGCCTGGAAACGACCTCGAACTCAATACGTGCTAGAACACCCAGATGTTTTCTGCATCCAGTGCGACATGTGTCAATTTGGCCTGAAGATTGCAAAAGGGCCAATGAAGGACCAGCTGGCTCAGAAAAGCTCAGGCATTATGTCAAATGTTCCAGAAGTTCTTGATTTTGTGAATCATCGTTGTCAGAAGGATCACAAGCATGGCAAACTCATTGGAGGGGTTGCTCAATATGCCCAAGAATACACTCCAGCTTTCGTGCAAGCCATTGTATGTGGCATCAAAGAAGCTTTGGGGTTCAAGGTTTCTAGCTCGGACAGAAGTGTTCCCAAAGCAGACAACAACCTTCGTGGACGAAAGACCGGAAAGGCAATTGGAGCAATCCTACACCAGTATGCTGTGCAGGTTCGGGAGTTGGAACAGCTCGTACCGGACGAAGAGACGCCTGCGGGTCGGACCGAGTGCCTAACACCGGGGTCTGGTGGCTCACACCCCGGGACCGGCCACCCGCCATTGTCGTCCAGTTCACCGTCCGCGTTAACGAGCTCTTTGACCATGCCGAGCGGTACTTCCCTGAGTCCATCCAGGTCTAAAAGTACCACCTCCATGATGAAGATGAAACAAGCCTTCCAGAAGAAGGAAGTTCGGGCATGGCCTTTAGCCAGCGAGCAAGGCCGCGACCTTGAAGAAGCCCTTGATGATGAAATTGAAGCCCATGGAGCAGAAGCAGCACAACCGAGGAGGGCACGACCACCAAGCCAACCGGTCGAGCCTGAAGAAGTTTCAGCTGAGGAGGCAGTGAGAGCCCAACTTCGAAGTGTGACGGAAGAGCCCAAAGTTCGACACGCTTTGAGAAAAGTTGAAGACTTTCGCAAGGTGTCGGAGGGCGAGTTCTCATTGTCGCCGTCCGTTAGACGAGAGATCCACAAGATTCACCGCAACCTGGGACACCCAGGAAATGACCTCTTTCTCCGAGCCCTTCGTCATTCCGGAGTGAAACCAAGCATTCTGGATTGGGTTCGCAACCACTTCTCATGTCCAGCGTGCAAAACCCTGGACAAGCCAAATCCACAACGACCAGGTCATTTGTTGCGGGCTCTTGAGTTTGGACAAGTTGTGGGAGTCGACCTCTTTTTCATAGAAGTCGAGGGAGAGCTCCTGACCTTTTTGAACATGTTGGACTGGGGCACAAACTTCCAACAAGTGGCCCTATGCCAGAATCGGACCTCAGAAGAGGTTCAAAAAGTTTTCCTTTCAGAGTGGACCAAGCACTACGGTCCGCCCTTGCTTCTTGTGTCAGATCGAGGACCAGAGTTCACAGGCCAGCGGTTTCAGGAAATGATTTCAGGTTTGGGCACCACCATCCACTATACCAACAGTCAATCTCCGTGGCAAAACAGTCGCACGGAAAAAGCAGGAGGGGTGTTCAAAGAGAAGTTCAAGGCTGTAATGCATGCAGCCTCAGCTACCAAAGATGAAGTCCCAATGGTGATTGCTGAAGTTGTGAATAGCAGGAACCGGTTCATGGATCGGTGGGGGTTCTCGCCGATGCAACGTGTTTTCGGCAAGTCACTCCGGCTTCCAGCAAGCCTCTTGTCGACAGATGCCCTCGACCATGAACTCATGGAACTTGCTGCAAGTGACCCCATCAGAAGACAATGGCAAATCAGGGAGCTTTCCTCGCAGGAGTGGCTTCGACGACAAGATCGTGCAGCTGTTCAGAGGAGCGTCCACGCAAGGACCCGCCAAACGGACAAGAAACAGTTCATGCCTGGCGAATGGGTGTACGTGTTCAGAAACACCCCAACCTTTCGAGGATGGGCAGGCCCAGGGGTTCTTTTAGCAGAGAGTCCAAGTGGCACAGGCTGGTGGATTTCCATGCGTGGCAGACTTTGGCAGGTTTCCACTGAACAGATTCGTATGGCCACACCAGAGGAGAACCTTGGAGCAGAACTTGTTGCAGAACTGTCCCAAGATCTTCTTCAGAAGCTTCAGTCACCGGGGCAGATTGCCTACCAAGACATCACCAGAGAGGACATTCCGAATGAAGCAGACTTCCAGGAAGAAGAACTCTTGCGTCTCCTTCGCATTGAGGAGGCACCTCAGGCAGACCCTTCAGAGCACCACCATGCGACTGAGGACGTCGATGCTGAGATGACAGAGACTACACATGTGGAGGAAGCTCCATCGAGCCTTGAAACATCCAGCCAGGCTCAAAGTCGTGATGACCCTTCAATGAGCTCAATGCCTCAGAGTCGCAGAGTGAGTTTTCTTGAACCTCATGAACCACCAGTACTTCCTGCCCTACCATGCCGCTGCAAGACATCGGCGTGAGAGAAGAGGAATCAGAAACTCCCAATCTCCCTATGGGAGCTGCGCCAAAGCAGGATGACATTCCAATGATTCGAGTAGATGAAGGCAGCAGTGGAAGCTTTCGTTTTGGCCCATCAAGCCGCTCAAGAACCGATGAACGACAGACCCCATATCCTCATCCGTTCTCAGCTGGACCACCACCGTTGCCTCAACCGCCAGGTCACTCCACTTACTTGGAGATCAAGGACTTTGACCGGGATGAGGACCTTCAACAGCTGGGCGTTCGAGGAAGCTTCATCGGCGCCACCTGGCGCTATGATCGTGAGCAGAGAAAAAGGGTCGTTTTGCCTGACCCTTCTTCCACAGCCACTTTTTGGTCACATCGGGGTGAAGCGAGCTTTGACTACCGTGATCAATGCATGTCCGTCTCCAAAGCAAAATCATCCTTTGGTCAGGTGGAATTTGCCAAATTAAATGATGAGCAGAAGGTGCTTTTTCGGGCCTCTCGAAAGAAAGAACTGGACAGCCTTCTCAAAAACAAAGCCATCCGGATTTTGAGCATCGAAGAAAGCCTTCAGTTTGCCAAAGATCATCCGGAGCAGATCATTGAGTCGAAGTTCGTTGACAGATTCAAGCCAAAGCCGGTTGAGTTGTCCACACTTGAAGCTTACAAGCGTCGGGCCATCCAAGAAGGACACCTGGAAGCCATCGAGCTTGAAAGCGATCAACAGAATCCCAAAAGCCGTTTGTGTGCTGTGGGATGGCATGACCCACAGATACACGAGGTAGAACGATCTGCTCCAACACCTTTGTCAGCATCGATTCACTGTTGTCTCCAACTAAGTGCATCGAGACGATGGAAGACTAAGGTCAAGGATGTGAAGACAGCGTTCTTGCAGTCTCTTCCAACCGCCAGGAGTCGCTTGCTTGCATGTCGGCAGCCAAGAGATGAGACTTTGCCCGGTCTGGACTCTCGCCAGCTGATCTTGCTCCTGACGGAGATTTATGGGCTAGTCTCTGGCCCTTCATGGTGGAGGAGGACTTTGTTGAAAATAGCCACCGAAGAACTTGGCTACCATGTCAGTGTGTATGACAAGTGTGTCCTTACACTGCCAGCGCAAGATGCATCACCAGAGGCCTTGACAGAAGGCTACATGGTCATTGAGGTTGATGACATTATAGAGGCTGGTGGGAAACGACATGAAGCTCTCATGAAGAGAATGGAAGAACGGTTGAACTTCGGCAAAATCGATGAGTTGTATGGCACTTCCGGCACAAGCTACGCCGGAAGACACCTCAAACAGCTTCCAGACTACAGCTTTGAAAGTCACATGGAAGAGTTCCTGTACACTAGATTGGAACCAGTGAAGCTGAACCGGCGCATCCTCAAGAAAGACGCCGCGCAAGTTGACCTCTCAGAACATGAGAAGACACAACTGAGGGGACTTCTGGCATCGCTCAACTGGGTGTCGAGAGAAGCTCGGCCAGATGCTGCCGCTGGGGCTTCCGTCCTGGCATCGACGTTCCCGAGTCCAAAGGTTTCTCACCTCGTGGAGGCCAACGAAATTGTGAGGCATTTGAAAACATGCCCGGTGACGCTTCGCATTTATGCCATAGAAGAGTCAAAGCTTCGACACTTTCTGGTGGCAGACTCGGCGTTCGACACGTCGGGGCAAGAGAAGTCTCAGTTTGGGTTCTTGCTTGGGTTCACAACGCCCGACTTCAACCAAGGCCGCAGTGCACCGATGAGCTTGATGCAATGGAGGTCCCGACGCCTCCGTCGCAAAGCAGCCTCTTCCTTGCTGTGTGAGGCCATCAGCATGTCAGCTGCGACGGCCGCCATGGAGCGCTTGGTGGCGTTCTTTGAGTCCATCAGGTACTCTGGATTCAACCCAAGGTCAAAGCAACGAAGTGAAGACGAACTGCTCGCGACCTTTGGCAAGACAAAGGTCATAGCTGCGGAGGTTGAAGCTTTCAAAGACCCTCATGGAGTCGCCTTGATGGATGCAAAAGCTCTGTACGACTCACTGAATAGTGACCAGTCGCAGGGTGGCACAGATGACCGGGCGACTTTAGAGATTGCCATCATCAAAGAATCATTGGCAGTGACGCAGACGCGTCCTAGATGGATTCCTCACAACTTCAATCCAGCAGATGCACTGACAAAAGTGCAAGGGTGTCATGCCGAACCTCTCATGCGCTTGCTGCGAACCGGTCACATGACCCTCGAGGAAGAGTCAGATGTTCTAGAACGTGGAAAACAGTCACAGCATCGCATGAAGGTCGGCACCAGAAACACCCGAAGTGAAGGAAACAGAATTCTTTGGGGGCTGATGAACCGAAGTTGAGCCTTTGTACACTTTCCTTCACTTCCGCGGCCACGAACTCTTAGGCGCCTTGAGCACTGGAAAAGATGTTAGCCGACCGAGAGAGTCGAACGAGACCTCGGTGTTTTCCTCAGTGTTTGGTTTGTTAGATTCTAGTTCCTCGGTCGGTCCCTTTGTTCTGCTTCCTCTGATTGGTCTAATCAAAAGAGTTCGTTTGGTTATGTTTGGTTCCTTTGTTGCTGGTGGACTCGCGGTAGCTGTGAGAATAGGAGTGGATCTATGAACACGGAAATCGGTCTGAATGACGATCCTCCATCCAGCATATTATGTGTTTAAAGTTGGAATCCTTGAGGGGATTGGGGATGAATCCCAAACAATTGGATATATTTATGGATTCATGATATAGTTCATGTCCACCTCATGACAATTGCCGTGTTCCCACGTTGTCCGATGGCTCGGCGGAACGGCGGTTCCGGCGGACGGCCAGGAAACGGAAGCGATGCAAATTGCCTCGCGCATCAATGAGGTTCGATGTCGCGCATCGATGGCAGGCAGTCTTTCATGGTCGATAGGTTTTTGCATGTTTTTGCAAGAGCCATGGTCAACTTCACAGATGTGAGGGATGAATCAAATGAGTCCCGTGTTCTTTGTACCTCTCGATGGCGGGATTTTTGTGTGTAATTCATCCTTGTGCTTCATGTCCAAAATCCCAAACCCACTTTCCAACCCTCAGGGATTTGAAAGCTTTGCGAAGTTGCTTGGCCGTCCAACCGCCAATGGTCACGGGCTGAACGCATCGTCATGTCATGGTCCTTGTTGGCTCCTCGCGCACTGGGTCGTCGCATTGGGGCCAGGTCCTACCCAAAAGATCCCTTTTTCGTGGATCATCTGCCCAACCTGTTAGTTCCCTTTCAGGGGGACACCCCCACTCAACAAACAAGAAAGTTCAGTGAAGTCTTTAGTCTTTTCCAGAACAAAACCCGGCTGAACGTCTTGGATGTCACCACAGTCTGTGAATGGGGCTCGTGAGAGGTCTCGAAGTCAGCACTGAAATGGTCTCAAATCCACCTCCGGAGCCTTCAACAGGTCACCACCTGCGACATTTAAGTCAAAAGCATTGTTTTCTACACATGAGTCGAGCACTTTCTGTTCGTGCTCGCAGGCATTGGCTTTAAAACGCTCCCCAGAGTGATGCTCTCAGCGGATGTGGTTTATGGATGTTTATGGATGAGGTCTTTTTAATTGAAACATCAAATCGACTGCAAATACTCATTCACTTGATCAAGACAAGAGTCTTTTGAGGCAGTCTCCGGATCAACTTTGCCCGGGATATCGGATTTATCCCAGATCCTCCAGTGTCTTTCGAGAGCTGCATCCGTTCATGACAACGAATCTGCGGTTTTGGTGCGGAAAACATTGCCTCTAAGGCCCACCTACACAGCGCCAGTTGATACGGCCTGGCTGGGCACTGAGTTTGTTGAACCAGCAGATGAAGAGAGAGCAAATTCGTACTGAAGAAAATCCAGAAGGGTACCGGTCTCTCGGTCGATCAAGATCCTCCAGTCCAGTTCACCGCTGTCTTGTTGGGGGTTGAGGGTGCGGTTCTTATTTCATGATGCCAGAAGAGCAGTGCGGCTCCACCAAGAGGACGCTCCTCTATCCATCTTCCGCTTGGTCAGTCCGACTGTCACCCCTGTGAGACAACTCCCAGTGTCCGTATACGTCTCTTTAAACAGGACCCCGTGGGTGACCCGACCCAAACACAAACATACTCAAAAAGCAGTGCCAGGACCTTCCCGACCATCCTTGAGATCCCGGCGGGTCACGAAGTAAGGCCTTGAGTTCAGGTCACGTCTACCAATCCTAAAGAGGTCACGAGTGGAAAGTCCTGGTAACACATGGCATCTACCAACCCACTCCACCGGCTCCGCAGACAGATCCGAGGTACGACGAGCTGGGTGTGTCGCCCAACGCCAGCACCGAGGAGATCCGCCTGCGGTACCTGGAGATTGCCGAGAACGTCGAGGCGCGGTACCTGGCGGATGGGCGTCCTGTGCCCCGGTCCTTTGTTTGCCTCAATGTAGGATTTGGGAAGCATCCGCAGTGAAGTCTGTGACATCCCACGAAACCAAGATCATTGCACCGCCATCCACCGCTACATTTAACATAAACATCCTCGTATAGATAGATTGACACCTTCCGGACGTGACTAGTGGTGCGGACGCATACATCCGGCACCCAGGAGGATTTGGCCTACCTCCTGGAAGCAGGTCGCTTTGCTGCAAGAGCGTGAGGGCTACAAACTTGAAAAACAAATCAAGACGACAAAGACCATCATTGACCCCTCAAACCATCCCACTGTAGGTAACTCTTCCATACATGGATGGTCTAGACAACAATCACCCCAAAGATTGCCCCTGAACCCCAAAATGCCAGCAATGCAAAACTGGTTCGAAGTAATGAAGGCCCCCAACATGTTAATACATATAATGAGCTTTCAGACGTCACGTCAGCCTATGGCGTCCATAGGCTGAAAAGAGCTTCACTCCCAAAAACGTTGCATGGAACAACATGGATCTCCGGAGCCTAGTTTGGGGGGGCAAGACTCATTTCAATCGATTTCCACGTCGAACCCACGGCAGCCCGGTGCGGATGTCGACAGCGGGCGACGAACGGATCCGTTCAGGAGAAGGTGGATCCTATCAGGAGAGGGAAGGCTTTCGATGTGAGAGAAAGAGATGCCAGCGTTCGCGTGTCCAACGGAAGGTGCTCGATGTGAGCACTGAGCAGCACCACCCGAAGGGTTGTTTGACAGCCCTGAGTCCCTGACCATGGATGTTCCATCCACTAACCACCTTAAGGGTGAAGCTGGCAGGTGACCGTGCCGGCGTACCTCAGAAGCAGCTTGAGAGGAGTCACTTCTGGTTAAGGGGGCCTTCACTTCAGATCATGCAAAGGGTTCTTTGTAAAATGAAACACCTGTAGGCTATGACATGCTATGACATAAATTGGCAACAACAACTATATACACCGCTTAGAGAACAAGTTTACGCGGTCTACGTGTGTCCACCAGGTCACCATGGTTTTTGTTCGGCTGGATGTATTTTCCGTATGTCCAGCCGATCCACTAATTACAGTTACTGGCCAATCCATTTGGTTTTTGTCGTTCAGGAGGTGTGTTGTCATCCTTGCAAACACGTACTGCAGGAGCTAATGGAGGCCCGGGACGACGAGGAGGACGATGAATTCGCTTGGGAGGAGCTTGCCGGAAGCGAGCGACCGCACACGCAGTGTGTGTGTGTGAGTGTGCGACCTGGAATAGAGGAAGTGCCACTGATCTTGATTTCAACTCCATGCACCTAAGTAATATTGGTTTGGGGCTGAGTGACATGGTGGAAAAGTTGTCTTTCTCGCTCCAATGGGATGATGAGTGTTTTGGAGTTCCACGTCGTGGTTTTTTGTTTGGCAAATGACTGACTGGAATGCTGTTTGGAGACATCGGTGCAAAGTTGGTGGTGTAAATTACCAGTCGTCTTGTTCAGTTGTTCCCTTTATTCAGTTTTCCCCGTATCCAGTGTGCACTTGCCTATTCATCCCAGAGACATGCCATGTATGGAATATATATAGATATACCTTCATTGGCCCAACCACCCCAAGGTATGCAAATACTCCATACACCTCCATCAATACATGGAACATCGCACGAACGTGCTCTTCCCGCCGGACGAACGCCGCCGGTGCGAGCTGAGGAACTGAGTCGGTCAGGTGACAGGGTTATGGCGCCTTCTCTGGATGGGCTGTGGAATCGATAACTTATTATAGAACTCGATAAATATGATGAATCCACATCAATCCCTAGCGATCCAAGTACCTTCTCAGAAGGTGATTGGAGACATTGTTATATAGGTTTGGAGGGTCCAAGTAACTAAGTACCTTCTGAGAAGGTGCTTGTGTCCCCGAGGAATATACATCCATGATGCGGAATGACCAATTCAGTCAAGAGCGGTCGTGAATTTCAGCAATTTGGAAAGCGATAGGCCCCCCTCCAGAGCGATAATCTAGTTGAATCATGTGGCCTGTTGATAAGCATTGTCAGAATTCGATAGATATATCCAAGTGGATCCAAGTGGTTTTGCACAATGCTCTTCCATGAGGGTGTCCCGGTGGTTTTGCCCAAGTGGTTCATGTTCTTGGTCCTTCCAGGAGGACGGCGAAGATGCCATTACTCTTCAGTCCAAAGCAGACTTGATGGAGGCCGGCTCCTGAGTGGCGGAGCTCGGCTCAGTTCGGGCAGGTTCCGCACCGCACGACCTGCCTGGGAAGCTATTTTTTTTGGGGGATGGGTTTCTCTCAAATCCCACTGAAATCCAACAGGTGGACGGTTGGATGTTCACCTTCACATGTGCCAGGCATTAAGCATCGGGAGTCCAGTGGGGAATGAGCTGAGCTGAACTCCAGGAGTGGAACGAAACGCCCCCTCCCGGAAGCAGGGCTGTGTGGCGGACACCTGAGCGATGTCTGGGACGGTGTTTTTTTGCTATTGAAGGAGGGCTGCATCCCTATGTATGGAAAGGGGCCTGTCACCCTGTCTCGGTGCCTGATTCACCCAGTATTTCCGGTGTTTGGGGTATTTATGATCCTCCTTTGTACTCCCCAAATTAAATCCTGTAGGTCCACTACGCTTTTTGAAATTGCGGAAACCAAAAATATAGTTGTGTTGAGACTATATCAGACGTCAAGCACAAGGAAATAATTTCAAACATGATCTCTATGTTGGAGGGGGGGGGGGGTTAGGAGACAGGAATTAATTTTGTCCAACAAAAGTTGTTTTGGATGGGGGGGGGTCAGGGGATAGCATTTAATTGTGTCGAAGAAAAAGTTATGTTGGAGGGGGGGGGGGTCAGGGGACAGGATTTAATTTTGAAGTGTTCAGAGGATATGGCCAGATGATGCCAGATGGGGGATCAGGAAAAAAATGTGTGTGAGAACATTCAAAATCAAAAAAAAAAAACGCCAAACATGACAGAAGATGAGACAATAAAAAAAAAATAATCATTCTATACCACCTGATTTGTATAGATCCTAATTGTATAGAAGAGATGAAGACTCGGTTTCTCTTTTACTTTGCTGGTTTACTTTTACTTTTCTTTTCTCCTTTTGGCACTGACAATGTGTCTCTTTGATGAGCTGTGGCGAAGGACGCTACTAGGGGCTCCTAGCCTTGCTACTGGGAGCAAGGACGCTACTAGGGGCTCCTGGCCATACTACTAGGAGCAAGATGAGCAAGGGCGTTACTAGGGGCTCCTGGCCTCACTAAGAGCAGATTGTGTGAAACAACGCGCCTCAGAATCCTCAGATGATGGGTCAGAGTCAGCGGTGATGAACACACCTCAGATGATGGAATCAATAGGAACATCGCCATAGATCTTGAAGAATATGAAGAGATTGCAAAATGTGGATAAATGTGACAGAGAATACAGATATCCAGTTACCATAGCAGTACTTCTGCTATCTTCGCTGCCTGAGCCATGACATGGCTGGCAGCACTGCGCCGGAATACGTGGAATGACATTGCCGACCAACAAGCACTGTCACATCCTGGAGCGGTTTGTGGATGCCAGAAGAAGTGCGGCACAGACTGCCAGATCTTTGGGTAGAAATATTATACTCAATGTTAGTGACATGAG